GAGGCCATGTGCATGCCTGCAGCTGGCCGGAGAGCCCCGTGAGCAAGGGGCAGGGTCTGCTGCAGGAGCAGGGAAGGCAGAGGCATGGGGCTGGGTAATTCTTTTCTCGCCCTGCTCCTCTCCTGTGCCTTGCTCTTCCTGGATGACCCCACCCTGTTTGGGTAATATGGTGTTTTTAGATTCTGGGCTGGGCCTTAAGTGGCTACAGGTGCTTCCTGCTCTACACAGACCCATGCCCTAATTAGCCTGCTGTGTCACATTATGTTCCTGACAGGGCCTTCATTGACTACAGGTGCTTCAATTAACCGGCAGTAACCTTCCCTAGTCTGCTAGTAACCACACCTTAATAAGCCTAGGTCTTTTATCGCCCCCTCTGCTCTCCAGCCCTGCTGTATCACGACACTGAGCAACAAAGACCGAGGGCCATACATACAGGGTGGGGGGTTCTGTCCTGGGAAGCAGAGATTCTGAACATGAGCACCCAGGGGGATGCTGTGGCCAGGCCCTGGCTGCCTGAAGGGCAGTAGGACTAGGCTGAATAGGTCAGGCCAGCTGGAACTCCTTTCCTCACAGCAGTTTGCCTCTTGGCCACAGCCCTGGGAGGCTCTTAGGTCACAAGGACCCACTTTCCCGGAAGCAGGAGCAGGAGTGGAGAGGTTATTTTACCTCTGCGTGTGGAACTTCTTGGGCAAGGTACTCGTGCGGGCGGTGGCATTGCAACTCCAAGCTTTCTTGGAAGAAATGGATTATCCATTTCTGTCCGGATTTAGGCCGGGTTTTGGAACCGAAACTGCCGTGGTCACCTTGGTATCCCCCCTGTGCCGGGGGATAGATGGGGGAGTGTGTCCCTGTTTTGGACCTCTCAGCGACTTTAGATCCCATCAACCATGGATTCTTCTGGAGGGCCTGGCGGAGCTGGGTGTCGGAGGCATTGTTTTGTGGTGGTTCCAGTCTTACCTGTTGGGGTGCTTTCAGAAGGTGGAGCTAGGGGGCTGCTATTCGACATACAGCATTTGATACGGTCTCGCATGATCTTCTTATCAATAAACTAGGCAGATACAACTTAGATGGGGCTACTATAAGGTGGGTGCATAACAGGTTCTCAGAGAGTAGTTATCAACGGTTCACAATACTGCTGGAAGGGCAGAACAAATGGGGTTCTGCAGGGGTCTGTTTTGGGACCAATTCTGTTCAATATCTTCATCAACAATTTAGATATTGGCATGAAGAGGATGCTTATTAAGTTGTCAGATGATCCCAAGCTGGGAGGGGTTGCGACTGCTCTGGAGGATAGGGTCATCATTCAAAATGATCTGGATAAACTGAAGAAATGGTCTGAGGTAAACAGGATGAAGTTTAATAAGGACAAATGCAAAGTGCTCCACTTAGGAAGGAACAATCGGTCTCTCACACACAGAATAGGTAGCAACTGTCTAGAGGGGATTACTGCGGAAAAGGACCACAAGCTAAATATGAGTCAGCAGTGTGATGCTGTTGCAAAAAAAGCAAACATCCTTCTGGGCTGCATTAACAGGAGTGCTGTGAGCAAGACACGAGGAGTCATTCTTCCGCTCTACTCTGCTCTGGTTAGGCCTCAGTTGGAGTATTGTGTCCAGTTCTGGGCCCTGCGTTTCAAGAAAAATGTGGAGAAATTGGAGAAGGTCCAGAGAAGAGCAACAAGAATGATGAAAGGTCTAGAGAACATGGCCTATGAAAGTAGACTGAAAGAATTGGGCTTGTTTAGTTTGGAAAGGAGAAGACTGAGGGGGGGACATAATAGTGGTTTTCAGGAATCTAAAAGGGTGTCACAAGGAGGAGGCAGAAAAATTGTTTTCCTCGATCTCTGAGGACAGGACAAGAAGCAATGGGCTTAAACTGCAGCAAGGGAGGTTTAGGTTGCAAATTAGGAAAAACTTTAACTGTCAGGGTGGTCAAACACTGGAATAAGTTGCCTGGGGAGGTTGTGGAATCCCCATCTCTGGAGATATTTAAGAGCAGGTTAGCTAGACATCTGTCAGGGGTGGTCTACGGTACTGGGTCCTACCATGGGGGTAGGGGACTGGATTCGATGACCTCTCGAGGTCCCTTCCAATTCTAGTGTTCTGTGATTCTATCACCCCGTGGCAATTGTGCTATGGGTTCCCACAAGTTCCATCTTGTCCCCTTTGCTGTTTAACATCTACATGAAGCTGCTAGGAGAGGTCATTAGGGCTACGTCTACACTAGCATGAATTTCCGAAAATGCTTTTAACGGAAAAGTTTTCTGTTAAAAGCATTTTCAGAAAAGCACGTCTAGATTGGCAGGATGCTTTTCCGCAAAAGCACTTTTTCTGCAAAAAAGCCCCAATCACCATTTTCGCAATCGGGGCTTTTTTGTGGAAAACACTACTGTGCTGTCTACACTGGCCCTTTTGCGCAAAAGTCTTTCGGAAAAAGACTTTTGCCCAAACGGGAGCAGCATAGTTTTTCCGGAAAAGCACTGATGATTTTACATGAGATCGTCAGTGCTTTTCCGGAAATTCAAGCAGCCAGTTTAGACAGCTGGCAAGTTTTTCCGGAAAAGCAGATGATTTTGCAGAAAAACTTGCCAGTCTAGACACAGCCAAGGAGTTTTGGAGGATGGTGCCATCAATATGCAGAAGACTCCCAACTCTATTTCCCTGTGACATCAAAACCAGGTGTGACAGCGGCTGATCCAAACCAGTGTCTGGAGGTGGTGATGGACAGGATGAGGTCAAATAAACTAAAGCTGATTCCAGATAAGGCCGAAGTCCTTTGGATAAGGAGGCCATCTGTTCGGGAATGTGGCATGGTACCTGTTCTAGACGGGGTTACGCTCCCCCTTCAGGTACGCAGCTTGGGAGTCCTGCTGGATCCTTTTTTAACATTTGAGAAGCAAATTTCTTTGGTGTCCAGGAGAGCCTTCGGGCAGCTTCGGCTGATCCACCAGCTGCGACCTTCCTGAACAAGCATGACTTGGCCACAGCGATCCAGGCTCTTGCTACATCCCGACTGGATTACTGTCTTGCACTTTATGTGGGGCTGCCGCTGAAGAAACTTCAACTGGTCTGGAATGCTGCTGCTCGAGTTTTAACTAATACTGGTTATACGGAGCACGTCATGCCGGTGTTCCGACAGCTGCACTAGCTTCCAGTATGTTTCTGGGCACAGCTTAAGGTCTTGGTTATACCCTATAAAGCCCTAAACGGGTTGGGTCTGGGTTTCTGAAGGACCGTCCTCTCCCATATGAACCTGCCCAGGGATTGAGGTCAGCTGGGGAGGCTCTTCTCCATGTTCTCCACTTGTGGAGATAAGATTAACATCTACACGGAGCAGGACCTTCTCGGCTTGTGCGCCTAGGCTGTGGAATTCTCTTCCCTGGGATAGTCACATGGCGCCAACACCGACATTGTTTCAGCACCAGGCTAAAGCCCCCATTTCACTTTTATTGCTTTTATTGGTGTTTGAGTCTGTGTGTGCCTGTGTGTGTCCCTCCTCTCAAAGTGTCTTAGCAGGTTTGATGCCCCCCTGGGGTCTCGTATTTTAATTTTTTATACATATTTATATTGTGTTGTTAAAATTCTGTAAGCTGCCTCTAGTATTTTAAATAGCGAGGCGGGGCAAAAATATTGTAAATCAATAAACTGGTGAGATCCTGTGCCCAGTTCTGCTGCCTACAAGCCCGTAAGGAGGGGGCTATGTTGAAGCTGGCTCAGAGAAGATCCACAAGAAGGGGTAAAGGGTTAGAAAGCCTGTCCTTGAGTGAGGGACTCAGGGTATGTCCACACTACAGAGTTTTCCAACACAACCTGAGTTACATCCACACTGCAGTTGCATTCTTCCAAAAGTAAATCAAAGAGCAGAGGCGTTTTCTGGCGTTGGTAACCCTCTTTCTGCGAGGAAGAAGCCTTTTTCCGAAATAACTCCTTTATTTCGGGGAAGAGGGCGTTCTTTCAAAAGAAGAGGCAAAAGCACAGGTGCCCTGGTGGCCACTCCGTCCATAGGAATCACACCTTAAATGCGAGAGAGCGTCCATTCAGCATGGACGCTGTCTTTCGAAAAAAGAGATCACTTTTTTGATGCACTTTTGTGTGTGTACGCTCTGTTTCAGAAGAAGCTTTTTCGCAAAATCTCTTCTGAAA